AGAGCGATTGTTACTAGGTCAGGTTAATTACGCAATTAACATTTCACACTGCCACCACCACCTTTTTACAGAGAAGGAGGAAACTCACAAATCTTAGCAGTAACACTATGATGTTTGAATAAGCATCTGTATACACACTGTCACCACAGACAGAGGTATCCAGAGGTTTTAAAACACACAGTAGCACTCTTCAGAGACAGGGATTCTTAGTTTGCATTAAAGAGCTTTAGAAACGATTCAACACTTTTCAGAAATTAGGATTTGTCACTAAAAAGGTCAAAATGGTGCAATAAAAATATTTACAGAAAAGATGTAACTACTATATATATATAAATAGAGAGAGCAATAACACAACAGAGAGATAAAGAAAGAAGTTTAAGAAGGTAGAATACTTGCAGAAGTCCTGGTTTAAGCAGAGTTCAAGTGTCCTGAACAAAAGGGTACCTTTTCTCCTGGTTGGTTGGTTCCTGATGTTAAAAGGGAGAATCTCTTCATCTCTCTCTCCAGGCATGACAGCTTTTCTAGTTTCCCAGCAGGGGGTGTCTACTGAAGCCAAGGGCCAATCGCCTCATTTGGGGAGGGTGGTTTAGGCAGAGACCCAGGCTGTGACCCAAATCCCTCGCAAGTTTATACCATGGTCAATAACCTTCCATAGGTGCATGCAGCAGCCTAGCCACTGGCAGGTTAATATACAGAACCATATTCTGAACGTCCAGACATCAAATATGACATATCTGGCTGTGACGGTTAAAGAGATATCGCTGTCTGCTCTCTGGTAGACTTTATCTAGGGGTGTAAGGTATCAGAAGACTTGTATTAAAATGACCTATCTGAATATATGCTTTTTTTTTATTGTACCTTGTTCCTGCCGGGATTTATGAAATTGTATGAAAAAGTGGTTTCAAGTGGGATGTCTGTTTTACTGTCATTCTGGAATGCTTTTATGTCCAGTGACTGACTGGTTTATAGCTTTATGACCAGGCCAAGGCAAGGGCCTGACAGACATCCTGGAACCAGCTAATTGGGTTTATAACCATGAAGGGTACCCAGCTGTGCCCTGTGCACTCCTGAACTCAGCACACACACAGACCACATTCCATTAAAAAATAAGGAGGAGGAGAGAATGATTTGGAGTGAGAATGACATTTGCAGAGTATGATCCAAATTATGGTTGTCATTTTCCATATCTGTGCACACAATTATCACACACACGACCGCCACTGACCAAGTCCCCAATCAGGCCAAGGACCCTGCAGTGGTGCACACCATCGCCACCTGTCCCGACACCCGGCTTCACTTGGCGTCACCTTGCGTCACTTGAAGGGAGACCCTATAAATTACAATAAGACACAAACAGACAAAGAAACATATAACCCTTAACCATTCAAAATATAATTCTAAAGGAAGGGTTTAAATGTAAGTGCAGTGTTCAGACCAAGTGGGTAAGTGGCTTTTAAATCATATATCCATCAAGTTTCCTGCCTCAGGATTTTATTATCAAAGTCACCCCCTCTGATAGATCCTATTAAGGGCGAAAAATGAAATAACACTAGAACCACGTGTTTTCCGATAGGAATATATAGCAAGCTTGCATCAATGTAATAGAGATGATCCTGGACCTGCCAGTTAAATGTTCTCTTCATCTTCCCAATGTAAAAGGCCCTGCAGGTACAGGTCACCAAATAAACTATCCCAGTAGTCTAACAGTCAACATAGTGTTTGGATTTCAAAAAGCCCCCACAGGGAATGGGAGAGTTTTCCCCTTCCCTGATCCAGGGGCAGTAGTCACACCCGTTGTATGTGGGACTATTTAATGTTTTTTTCGGGCACAGGTGGAGTAATCCTTGCGCAACAGTTCCCAAAAATTACATTAAAGTTCCAGCCTCCTCTTCTATATCAAGCAGTCAGAGCAGGTTGGAACATCAATTTAAATAAATGGGGAACCCAGGGAAGCTTTTTTAATTGGCAGCATAGTGGCTAAAAGGTTAGCACTTCCGCCTGGCAGTACTAGGGTCATTGGTTTGAATCCCAACCACAGCACCACCTGCCTGGAGTTTGCATGTTCTCCCTGTGCCTGCGTGGGTTTTCTCCAGGTACTCTAGTTTCCTCCCACACTCCAAAGACATGCTGGTAGGTTAATTGAATCCTGTCTAAATTGTCCCTAGGATGTGTATGTATGAATGTAAGTTAGGGACCTTAGATTGTACACTGTCTGAGGGTTAAGGACTGATGTGAATGTACAATATATATGTAAAAGAGCTGCGTAAATTGACAGCGCTATATATGTACCTGAAATAAATAAATAAAATAATTGCTGTAGAGGTTACACCATGATGCTGATTACCAGTTGATTACACTTGCATTGCTTGCTGAACATCAATCTACATTTGGATCACTCTTCAAAGAGCATTTGACAAGCAGTGATGAGAGGTTGTATAGTTCCCACATCTATTTTAACACCCTAAATGCCACATTACCGCTCCACAACTGTGCGCATTGCTCTGTTGTGGGATCATTGTAGTGTGGGCCCATTCACTTGAATGGATCATGTTTGGTGGGCAATTGTGCCTGCCATACGTGACAGTGGGTATAATATCTTTCCAGCTAAAGGGGAGCGGTTGAGAGGTGGTAAAAAAAAACAGCTCAACTGTGTGGTTTTACCACCCCAAAAAGTGAGTGTAAATGAGCAGTGGCTTTTTATACACTTGTGTTACCCTCTGAAAAGTGATCTGTGGTGGATTGCTTTCCAGAGGGCACTCAACAAGTGGTGAGGAGGTATTATGTTACCTCCTCACTGTCTATGGTAACTCTTAAAACCCATATCACCACCCTGCAATCATGTGCATTACACACGAATACAGAGCAGCTTTATTCCGTTTAATAGCTTGAATTCAGTAAGCAGTATGTGTCCGCCAAATGTGACAGGGGAGATCATTTTTCATATTTACAGTTCACGGATTGTTTGCCAATTTGTGCTGTCAATTGTGGACTTTTTCAAGTCTGATAGGAACGGAAACAATAAAATGCTACATTCCTTTATACACATTATACACAAATAACATTAAAAATGTTTGGTATGGTTCCTGTTGGTAATGCAACCTAGTTGAAGTGTTTAAATAGTGTACATGTACTCACTACAATATTTTGTGGGCATTTTCAGCACAATAAATAGACTCTAATGTTGTTTGTTTTATTAATAGCTACCTGGTGTAGGTCCTGTTGACAATGTGGCCTACTCAAAGTATGGGATTTACTAAAACGGGAGCACTCTGAATCTGGTGCAGCTGTGCAATGTAACCAGTCAGCTTCTAAGTTCACTTTGTTCATATAAGTTTTACCAATAAAATCTGGAAGCTGATTGGTTACTACCAAAGTGTTGGTACAAAGTGTTTAAAGACTAAACACATACTCACTAAAATAAATTTGCCCACTTCTTCCAGTGAAATAAATACACTATAGTGTTGATTTCCTGCTTTAAAAATGGATACTCTGATTTCTGTTGAAAATGTGGCCTAGTCCATAAATTAGACCACTATACACTGCTTTATGATTAAAATGTATTCCATTTTTTTTATCTTAAAAGCTGGCTGGTGTGGGTTTTGTTGACAAAGTAGCCTAGCCTCCTTAGTGGTGTTCCCAAGTGTAGCTCGGGGTAAAATTTCTATACCAAGAGCGGTAACCCCGAGCTACACTCGGGCTTACCATGCGGCGTTCTCTGGGGGTCCCTGCAGCACTTACCTTGTCCTTCGTTCCCGCGATCTGTCCCCTCCAGCGTCCCCGGCCATCTCCTCCGGCCGATGCCGGCATCCGGCTTCTGTGTTCCGGTCCCTGTGACGTCGGGAAATTTGAATTTTTTAAAAAATTTAATTTTTTCTGTCATTGCTATTTCAATGCATTTCACATACATTTTGTCCCTACTGCTTTGTCCTGTGCCCTGCCTGCATTTTGAATGTTCTTTCTGCCTGGAAACTTAGAAAAGTCCATGGCGTCCAAAAAGCGTCCCTTTACGTCAAAAGCGGTTTTAGAACAGTGATAGTAAATCAGAACCACTTGCAGAATTGAGTGATAATGATTTGTGGGGAAATTCGTCATCAGACACTGAAAACAATTTTGCGACTTTGCTCAGCAATGTGCGAATTTGCCTCTGTATTTCAAATTTCAGTGTTTTTGGTTTGATTATATTATTGAATTAAATTTATTATTATTATATTATTATTTTTTATGATTATTTATTAAATTATAATTTATGATTTCGTGTTTCAAATTTTATCATATCCGGAATGTTTAATAGACTCTTGTTCGGACAGATTTCAGTGAGTTATTCCTAAAAATTACAGCCTACAATAAAAAACTACATATTTCCATGCAAAAAAATTGTACCGCTTTCATCACAAAAAAAAAAACGGCAAGAATCATACCGCCAAGGAGGCTAGAGAAAGTGTATTAAGATCATGCACATACTTGTGTTGATATTTTAAATTTTTTATCAAAATGTCACTGATGTGGGCCCTTTAAAAAAAACAGCCTAGTGAAAGAGTATAAACTGTACATTTACTCACTACAATATTTTAATAGGCAAAATAAACACACTTTAATATTAGGGGCTACACATTGACTGTTGTCACAGGTGTCCACCTCACTTCCCTTGCTGCAAGTGACGTACCGCTCGCGAGCAGCGAGGAGGAGCGGGTGAGATGCTGTCTATACGATATATCATTACCTTCCAAGGATATTGTAGATGTTGAGCATGCTTGTACTTTTACTATGTGAGTTAATTACTGCTTTTATAATGAATGGATTTTAGCGGTATCACGCTATGAGCTCTTTTTTATTTCCTTTCCTTGTGATGGAGTAAATAATTCAGAGGATGTCCCACCATTCAATCAGCCTTTAATTGCCAAGGGGCTAAGTGATTGAGGAGCCTTATTATGTTTGACACTCACAAGAAGCGCGATTGCCTGTCAAGTTTAGATCGGCCACGACATCTGGTGAGTGCCACTCAGGGGCGGACTGACAACTCATGGCTCCCCCGGGCAATAGGGAATCATGGGGCCCCTGTGTCCTTGCCCAAACTCAAAACACCTATGAAAAAGGTACCAGGGGCATCTCATGGGGCCCCCTACTAACCCCAGGCCCTTGGGTGGTGCCCGAATTTCCAAATGGTCAGTCCGCCCCTGCTGCCATTGAATTGGGGGAGGTTTTTCTCTGGAGCACATAGTAACACTTGAGTGAAGTTTTTTTGTAAGTAATCTTACTTGATCATGTGGTGATTCAGTGGATCAGAAGGACTTTTTATTTAATTTCATATTTTATACAACACATTTGTTTCAGTGGACTTATATGGAGCATTTATGTGTTTGATGAACTGGACTTTCATTGATGCAATTTTTATTGATTTTTTTTTATATATTTAAATGTTATAGCTCATTTATTGCATATTATTTTATGCCACTTTAGTATATTTTATTTGTGGCACTGCTTTCACTAGTTAGATCAAACACTTTAACATTGACTTTAATCTCAAATGGCTGGTGTGGATTGTTTTAAAAATATAGCCTAGTGAGTGTTTAAATACTGTACACATAATCACAATATTTTGGGGTCTCTATAAAGTGAAAATAATACACTGTATTTTTTTTGTTAAAGCTTGCTGGTATGGGTCCTGTTGAAAAAGCAGATTAGTCAAAGGGATTTATTTTTTTTTTAAATGTTGGCATTTCCCATAAGCATTTGTCCAGTTATCATGAATTCTGACCATATTTTGATTGCTATGTTAATTTCTTATGATCATCAGCCCCATCTAGAGGCCATAATACAGTATTTTCCTGACTTAGGTATTTCATGGGTAAAAAATGCAATCATAGGAAATAAACATATTAAGCAACTGCAGTCAGGATTTGTGATTGAGGGGAAAATGTGACATTGTGACATTCTGATACATTTCTTAAAAAAGACCCAAAAGTGTGTAGACTGTGCAGGTACTCCCTACAATATGTTGGAGGGGGGATTTTCCATCCGAAATAAATACATTCTAATGTTAATTTCTTAAATAAAAGCTTGTGGGTGTGGGTCCTGCTGACAAGGCAGACTAGTAAAAGGGTGTAAAGACTGTCCACATCACTCACTACAATATTTGGGGGGGCGTTCTTCAGGTAAATATACTCTATATATTCAGAAAGTATACTTTATTTTTCTTTTATTAAAATTTGGTGTGCGTCATTTTGACAAAGGGGTTGATTTACTAAAGGCAAATAGTCTGTGCACTGCAAGTGCACTTGCTCTAGATCTGAGAGGAACATGCAAGGAAAATAAAAAAAACAGCATTTGTGCTTGCACATGATTGGATGATAGAAATCAGCAGAGCTTCCCCTTATTTCAGCGCTTCCCCTCAGATCTAGCGCAACTGCACTTGTAGTGCACTTGAAATGCACTTGCAGTGCACAGTATATTTGCCTTTGGTAAATCAACCTCAAAGTGACTTGTTGAATGTGTGTACAGGCTTTGCACATGCTCGCTACAATATTTTAGGGGATTTTTCCACTGAAATAAATACACTCTAATACTGATTTTCTATTATTAGTAAAAGCTGGTTGGTGTACATCCTGTTAAAAAAATGGGCCTAATCAAAGTGTTTATATACTAAAGAACACAACACAGCTTTAGAGCTTGTTGCACATCTGATATTGACATAGGATGTAATCACATTGCACCTTGCTGCCCTTTTAGGACTAGGGGTGTCCTAGTAGTCCTGAAAAAAAACACAAAAAGAGGGTGCACCAGCCTTATCCCAATTACATTTATTAAAAGGAAAGAGGTAAATGTATCTTCTCACAAACAAAAAGTGTCAAAGGCACATCCAATGTATCTATGTAACAGACCACTCCACATGCTCTTGGACCCTTGAGGACAACACCTGGATAACACGTGTCCAACTTGATAACACATTTTGAGGGAGAACCCTCTTCTTGAGAGCCAAGCTATGGGCTCTGAGCCAGCAGGTGTTGTCTTCCAAGGGATTAGGAGCATGAGAAATGGTCTATTACATTCCTACATTTGATATGCCTTTGACACTTTTTGTTTGTAAATAGATACATTACCTATTTCCTTTTAATAAATGTAATTTACAAAATTACATTTTGTAACAAAAAAAACTAAACAAAAAAAAACAAAAAAGGGATGGTGCAGTGTACCAAATCATGTAGCACACTGCCCCTTACCCAGCCAGCAATGCAGAGCAGCCGGAGCTCCAGCTGCTCTGCAATTTAGTATTGTGCATGTGTGAATTCACCCTAAATGTGCTATTTTGTTAGGGTTTTTAAAAGGGCAATAAATACACTCTAATGTTAATCTCTTTTTCTAATTTACAAAAGCCTGGTGCGGGGTCTATTGAAAATGCAGCCAAATGCAGCCAAGGTGTTTAAATAATGTGCATGTAGTCAATACAATATTTTGAGGACTTCTTACAGCAAAATAACTACACACTATTTTTGATTTCTTGATTTTAAAAAATGGTTGGTGTGGGTTCTGTTGAAAAGATCCTAGCTAAAATGTTAAAAGCTATGTGCATATTCTCTACAGTTTTTTGGTGGTTTGTTTCAGTTTGTAAAGATTGTGTACATGCTCAATTCAATATTTTGGGGGCTTTGCAGTTAAATAAACACACTCAGCTGGCTGGTGAAGGCTTAGTGAAAGCATGTAAACTCTGCACATACTCCCTACAATATTTTGGGGATTTTTTCAGTAAAATACAGATTTCTTGATTTAAAAATGGCTGGTGTTTAACCAGTTCCTGTCTGGCCAATAACAAAATGATCCAGGTAGATGTCATATGACGTACTCTGACATCGCCACCATGCGCGAGCCCACAGGGCAACGCCGCGGCAAGATCTGTCACCAACTGTGTCCATCAAACACAGCCAATGACCGATCTGTGTTCCGGCAAACTGCCAGTACAATGCGACCACTGTGACCAATCACACCAGGTCACATGACAATTGTAAACAAGAATGGTTTCCTTTAATGCCATCCATTGTATCGTGTTGCTAGCTGTGATTGGTCAAAGACTGGGCCAATCACAGCCCATCTGTATCCTTTGATTATATGTGGCCAATCACAGCTAATCGCAACAAAAAAATACTGAATGAATCAATTTCATGCAGATAAATACTTTCCTATAGCAGTGAAATTCACTGCTATAGGCAATCATAATGTATAAAAAAAATACTGATCACTTTCGCAGAGTAGTACAATGTTACTTTGGTAACTTTGTATTACTCTGGTCACAGTGCCTAATAAAAAAAAAAAAAAAAAAAGAAAAAATATAATACTTTTTTTTAAAAATTGAAAAAAAATTTTTTTTTCCACATGGTCACCAGCCAGTGTCCCTGATCACTGTCACACCAATTATAAGATGACGCTGCACTGCACTGGTCAAAGTATGTAAAAAAAAATGGTGAATTTATTTTTTAATTTCTCCATTTTCCACAAAAAACGTGACAAAAAATTACAATGTCAAAAAACTTGGCATGCCTCTTACTAAATATTGCAGATTGTCTGCTTTCCAAAAAAGGGTAATTTGGGTGGTAGTTGTACTATCCTGACATTTTTGAACCACAAGAAATGAGATGGGCCGTCAGCATCAGGATTGATACATTTCTAGATATACTATAGTTTGTGGAGACTATAGCTTTCCTACAGACTAAATAATATACACTAATTTGGGTTATTTTTACCAAAGAAAAAGTGGCAGTATACATTTTGGCCTAAATTTATGAAGAGCAGTATAGAGAAACAGTCTTTTTGGTCTTTTTTCATTTATTTTACAAAAAATAAAAAACCCACCAAAAAAGCTCCAGTTGTGTGAAAAAAATGCTAAAAGGTTAGTTTGGGTACAGTGTTGCATGATCGCGCAATTGTCATTCAAGCTGTGAAAGTGCTGAAAGCCATAAATTGCCCTGGGCAAGAAGGGGTAAAAGTGCCTGTATTGAAGTGGTTAAAATGTATTTTATTCAAAGTGTTAAAAAACTGTCACAATATTTGGGGGCTTTTTCCAATGAAATAAGTACAGTTTAGTTTTTTGTTTTTTTTTAAACTGCTGGTATGGGTCCCGTTAAGAACGTGGCTTAATGAATGTGTGCAATGTTTATGCTTATAGTATACAACACTTTCGTACTACTTTCAGGGTTTTTTTAGTAAATATAATCTAAGGTTTATTTCTTGATTTAATATAGCTGGTGTGGGGTCCTGTTGAAAAGGTAGCCTAGTCAAAAGGATTAAATACAGTGCACATAGGTGACAATTCACTAAAGGTTATTGCATGCATTATATCTGTCATGTGACCACATATCACATGCGATATTGAAAATGTCAATTCACTATTTACCACAAATTCACTATTTACCACAAATAGCAAAACGCTTGGTAAATACCATATAAAGTAAGTAAATAAATAATTAAATGCATTCAGTAATTAAGTAGTGGTCAAGGCATGCGGTATGTACTGGTTGTTAAGGAGTGGCGACCGCTGGTGTCCTAAACAACCAGTAACTGACATGGTTGTTAAGGAGCAGGTGTCCGCTGTGTCCTGATCAACTGATGAGTCATTAGATGGATTCCCAGCTGACAGCTGAATATAAAAAAGAGTTGCCGGCAATTAAAAATTAAGAAAAACAAATGGTGGGGGGTACCCCAAAATACATACCAGACCCTCATCTGAGCAAGCGTCCCCCCCAAACCAGTCTGCAATCGGAATCTGGAAGCCCCCTTTCACAAGGGGGCCCCCAGATCCTGCCCCCAATACATTGTACCCCTACTCATTCACCAAAAATGTTTAGTGTAAAAAAAAACACAGGGGACGGCTTTTTACCACTGATGACCTGAAAAAAAAAAGCTCCGCTTTAGTTTTGTTTCTTTAATAAAGGACTTGTCAAAAAATACCTTCTGTGTTTTTATACACTAAACTTTTTTTGATGAATGAATAGGCGTATAATGTACCCCATACTCATTTACATGGGGGTCTGGGATCTGGGGGTCCCCTTGTTAAAGAAGGCTTCCAGATTCAGATAAGCCCCACCCACAGACCCCCACAACTACCATCCAGGGTTGTAAGGAAAGGCCTCTTCAAACTCCCAATGTTTAGGACATGTGGCCTGGTATGGGGGGGGGGGGTTTGCTCGTCCCCACTTTCCTGACCTGCTGGCTGCATGCTCAGGTATGGGTCTGTTATGGAGTTTTTTTAATTTTGGCATGAGGGTTCCCCTCAAAATCCATACCAGACCTAAAGGGCTTGGTATGGATTGGTGGGGGGACCCCACAACGTTTTTTTTTTTCCTTAAGTTGTAATTGTCAGCAATTTTTTTTTACATTCAGCTGTCAGCGGGGGAACCTGTTGACAGCTGATGACTCATTACATTACTGCATGTTTTCACTACTAAAATGCTACATGACTAACTCACGCAATATTTTAGCAATGCTTTTTAGTGAATTCCAACATTTATTTTGAAAAACACTGTGCTGTAACTTATTGCATACTTGGATGTGGTAAGATACCGCTTTATGACTTGTCTCCATAGTCACTATGACATTTTGTCTTTTTTCAGTGACATAAATACTGTACAAAATAATGTATATTTCTTGAGTTACAAATAATAGACTAACTTTTACTTATAATTTGTAATTCATTTTATTTTATCTACTGTGTATAATTAGATTTTTAAAAATAATTATAATTTAAATAATTACCGTATTTTTCGCTCCATAAGACGCACTTTTTTCCCCCAAAAAAGGGGGGAAAATGTCAGTGCGTCTTATGTAGCGAATATAAAGTGGCCGGTCCGGTATTTCTGCCGCCACCATGTCAGAATACCGGGCGGCCGCTCAGCTGTTCTCTCCTGCAGGGCCTTACCTGTTCCTCGCTCCAGCGCTGCACAGTCTTCCCCCGGCGGCTTCTGTGACAGCCAGGTGCCCACTGTGCATGCGCAAGAAGCGCTGCGCTTTGTGAATGGTCCGGTGTCTTTTGGGACACATGAAAGGTCCCAGAAGGCACCAGGCCATTCACAAAGTGCAGCGCTTCTTGCGCATGCGCAGTGGGCACCTGGCTGTCAAAGAAGCCGGCGCGGGAAGAAGAGGGAAGGACAACTCCGCGGAAGTGGGAGCGGGTACCTGTCAAATTCAGGTACCCGCTTCCCCTCCCTCCCCAAAGGTCAGCAGTCTTTGGTCATTCCCTGCACTGTCTGCAGTCTCTGGTCATTCCCTGCACTGTCTGCAGTCCCTGGTCATTTCCTGCACTGTCTGCAGTCTCTGGTCATTCCCTGCACTGTCTGCAGTCTCTGGTCATCCCCTGCACTATCTGCAGTCTCTGGTCATCCCCTGCACTGTCTGCAGTCTCTGGTCATCCCCTGCACTGTCTGCAGTCTCTGGTTATTCCCTGCACTGTCTGCAGTCTCTGGTCATCTGTACTGTGTCCCTGGTATTTTCCCTGTACTATGTCCGCAGTCTCTGGTCATCTCCTGTACTATGTCCGCAGTCTCTGGTCATCTGTACTATGTCTGCAGTCTCTGGTCATCTCCTGTACTATGTCCACAGTCTGTGGTCATCTCCTGTACTGTGTCCGCAGTCTCTGGTCATCTCCTGTACTATGTCTGCAGTCTCTGGTCATCTCCTGTACTATGTCCGCAGTCTCTGGTCATCTCCTGTACTGTGTCCGCAGTCTCTGGTCATCTCCTGTACTATGTCCGCAGTCTTTGGTCATCCCCTGTACTGTGTCCGCAGTCTCTGGTCATCTCCTGTACTATGTCTGCAGGCCATTGGTTCAGATTATTTTTTTTTCTTGTTTTTCGCCTCTAAAACCTAGGTGCGTCTTATGGTCAGGTGCGTCTTATGGAGTGAAAAATACAGTACTTGTACTTTTGTGTTAACTAAACCACATCATTCACTTTTTCTTGGCAGCCAGTTCAAGAGCTGCCTTTATTGTCCCAGCACCTCACTGCATCCTTTGAAACCCCCAAAAATGTAAAACCACTCACAGGTTTTAAAAATGCAACTTCCCAGCCACACATTCTGCTCACTCTGATGAAGGCTCTTTCTGATATGACACATACAACAGAGCATGTTGGGACACCACCATTAAAAAAAAAATAAATAAAAGTCCTGGCATTTTTTTTTTCTTTAAAAGGGAAGTGAAAAATAAAACACCTATGTTTTCCAGCAAGTGTATTTGTAAGACTAAGCTATAACCTGCTAAGGAATATATTCCAGAGTTCACAAAAGTTAAAGTGATTGTAAAGCTTTAACTATTTTTATAATAAAGTAAGAAAGATACCATATTTACCTGCTGTGTGCAATGGTTTTGTACAAAGTAGCCCCAATACTACTCTTCTCGGGTCACTGGTGGTGGTGTTTCTGGCTCCTCCCCCCTGTCGAGTTCCCCCATAGAAAGCACTCGCTTGCCCTCACTCCCCAGCTGACCTGTCTGCACCTATTGACACAGTCAATGGCTCCTGCTGCTATCAATCTGCCCAGTGAGAAGGAAGAGAGCAAAGAGAGCCATTGCTCTTATGCACAGTGTTGGATCGAGATTTAACTAAGGTAAGCATAAGGGGGGCAGGTGATCCTGTGACACATCCTGTGAAGTAACTTTTTCCCCATAATGCATAGAATGCATTAAAGTGAAAAAAAACTTTTAGTCTTTAGAACCACTTTAAACGTAAACTCAACCATAACCCAGGCAATATGCTTTGTCACGAAAATGAGGCAATGAGGTTTTCCCAGGCACATGTTAAAAGGAAAAAATCAATCTTCGGATGTGCACACCCTAGTGAATTACATACATTTAAAATGTATATTTATTTGTATGACAAAGTCTGAACCTACTAAGGAATACATTCTAAAGAGCACAAAAGTTAAACTTCAATCAATCGTACTAAAATTTAATCTTTTGATATATACCCTAGTGAATAAAATAAATGTAAAATTGCTGCCTTTTGTGTATATATTTATATCCTCCCATCTAAATGAAGAAACATCCATCCTCACACCCATTTACTTCTCAGCTCAACTCATCTCTTCAGAATTCCCCATACAGTAGGTGTTCGTTTGGGTTCAGATCAGGAGACATACTTGGCCACTGAATCACTTTCACCCTGTTCTTCTTCAGAAATGCAACAGTGGTCTTAGATGTGTGTCTTGGATCATTGTCATGTTGGAAAAGTGCACGAGTGATGGTAGCATCTCTTTCAATATGGAGCAGCACATCTGTGAATTCATGATACCATCAATGAAATGCAGTTCCCTGACACCAGCAGCACTCAAGTAGCCCCACAGAAGGATACTGCCACCACCATGTTTCACGGTAGGCACCATGCATTCTTCTTTGTACTCCTCACCTTTGCGACACTATACAGTTTTGAAGTCATCAATTCCGAAAACATTTATCCTTGGTCTCATCACTCCAGACTACAGAGTCCCAGTAGTCTTCTTTTTTTTTTTTAGCATGGGCCCAGACAAATTCTAGGCTGAATTTTTTGTGTGCATGGGCTTTAGGAGAGGCTTCCTTTGTGGACAACACTTACAAAAAACATGCATGCCATTCCTCTGCAGAGTACACTGTATTGTGCAATGGGAAACAATCGCCCCAGTTTGCCTTTCTACTTATTTTGCTAACTGCAGTGAACTTGCATGGCAATTTTCTCCAACCCTTCTCATCAGAAGATGCTCCTGTCGAGGCTTCCGTGGACAGCTTTGGGCGTCTCTGTGAGATGGTTGCAGTTCCATCTTTGTTAAATGTTTGTATCACTTTTGCTACAGTGTTCTGATTGATAATTAAAGATTTGCTGATCTTCTTGTAGCCTTCACCTTTCTTGTATAAAAACATTTTTTTCTTTCTCGGGCCTTGTGACATTTCTCTTCAATGTGGTGCCATTGGTGACAGCAAGAAATGGGAAAGGGTTTTCTTTAAGTAAGGCCCTTTTATAATCAACTGCTAGACACCTGATTAATTAATATTTAGACACATCTATAGTTGAATACTTGTTAATTAGGATTTTGTTTTCTAAATTTCAGCTTTGCTCCTAAGACTTTCATTGAGGTGCATTCATTTATTGTAACATGGTCTTGGATAAATTTGTTAGGAAAAATATTTTTTTTCTGTGTGTAAATTAACAAATCTTGTTTGAAAATAGAAAATGTTGATTATGAAAGTAAAGTAAAGGTTTTCTGACAAATCTGTTGGGGTATACTCATTTATGCTGAACTCTGTATATATTTATGCTATATTGGGACACAAGTTTTTTTCTCCTAATGATTGTGTAATACACATGTTTAGGATTTGAATATTATGATATTGTGATTTTTATAGTGCAGCACTATTGTTTATTATATTTGTATGTACCATATATTAGAGTATTGTGTCAGCTGCTCTTTGTTTCACTTTTCAGAGCCCTAGCACGTTTTTTTCTTTTAGTTCAGCTTGGTACAATTAAACAGTAGCCATTAACTGTGGAAATCCCAGTGAATAAAGTAGAAAACATTTAGATCCCTGGAGTGATACAGTGTAAAAGGGAAGCAATACTGAGGCCTGCATGGACTAACAGGAGCACATTTTTTCATTCAAAATGGAAAAAAAGTCCTTTAGATATACATTAAGTAAAAATACTTAAAGTTAATATTTAATAAACAAATCACCAAAAAAGATTGCTGTAAATCAGTTTTAAGTAACAACACCTTTATAGAAATAAAAGATCTGATTTGTATTCATTTTAGAAGCTGAAGGATACCCATACTTTCTGTGAAAGCACAGTCATCCATTAACATATAACATTAAGGCTACGTTCACACTAACATCTTGTGCAGGCGGCAGAAAGGCATTTGGGAAGCGTTCTTACCGCTTCCCAAACACCTCGGACAATTCTGCACATTGCAGCACATAGTGCTGTTCTAACGGGAGCATTAGCATCGCGGCGTGGCAAAACGGACGCCTCTGGTTGAGTCAGGAGGCGTTGAAGCCTCCTATTCTAGTCTATGGTGCCGCTCCGCAAACGCCTGGCCGGCGTTTGCAGTGCAGTTGTGACGCGGTTGCGGGGCGTTTGCGGAGCGGTAACACCATTCAAACTTCATTATAGGCGTTTGTGGGGCGTTTTTAACGCTCGGCAAATGCCTAGCAACCGCACATGCGGCGTTTGCCGAGCGCTAAAAAACTCTCCGCAAACGCCAGACCAACGCTTGCCAAACTCTATAGGGGTGTTTGGCAAGAGTTGGTAAAACAGTCAAGTGTGAACGAGCCCTAACAGTTTTTTTCCCTCAACACTGCAAGTGATAGAAGTGTGGTTCTTTAACTATTTAATGGATAAACCCCTGTAATAATACTAATACATAGAAAACATGAGCTGTTAGCAAGTGGACCTTAGAATTAAACTGCAATATCACATACACTGTAACTGCAAACCAAGATGGTCAAAACATGTTAGAAAAAACAATGCTGTATGTACCACTTCTGCTCTTTCTTTGGTTAACCTGTTTTCCACCTAGTGTCATATAGAGCCTGTAACTAAGGAGTTATCATCTTTTGACACATAACTCATTTTGGTTCTTCCAGGCATTGCACGTATTCTAACACAAAACCTTTAGTGATCTATGCCCCTTAAAACATTTCCTGCAAGAAAGAAAAAAGATTTATTACAGCCTAGTGCTTTTCTACA